AATGGGGGGTGATATAGGGGATTATATAGGGGAGTACTACAGGGGTTATTAAAGGGATACTAGGAGTTTAGGCTATGGCTCGCCTGATGTTTAGGGGTATTTGGGCTTCGGTTTAGGGGTTGAGGTTTTAGAGAGGATGTTGGATTAGCATCCTTAGCCATGTAGAAGGCGGGGACTACAGAGGGGACCATTGCTTCATTCCCCGATGACCAGGGGGCAGCTCATGGAATCGTATGCTTGCTTGTCAGTTACTTGTCCTATCGTCAGGGTGTATGTACGCAAGTGAAGCTTAGCGGGCAGTTTGGGATGGAAACCTGACAGCAAGAACTGCAGAAGCAGGACCCCTACCCTAAACTTTAAACCCTAAACTCCTAGACCCTAAATAGTAGTTTCCATTTTCTTTTCCATTATCCCAATATATCCCCTGTATAATCCCCTATATAACCCATATTTAAGGAGTTTAGACTATAGAGCCCAAGTAGTGGAAAAGCTGCACCTTCGGTGCTCCGCCAGCCACGATGCCTGCAAAAGCGATGCGTCCCAGAGCCGACCTCCGATGGACTCCAGCACCTACACAGAGGGTTTATGTTTTAGGGATTAGGGAATAGGGTTTAGGGTTTATGTTTTAGGGATTAGGGAACAGGGTTTAGGGTTCATGTTTTAGGGATTAGGGAATAGGGTTTAGGGTTTATGTTTTAGGGATTAGGGAATAGGGTTTAGGGTTTATGTTTAAGGGATTAGGGAATAGGGTTTATGATTTAGGGGTTAGGGTGTAGGGATTAGTGTTTAGAGCTTAGGGATTAGGGTTTAGGGAATAGGGATGAGGGTTTAGGGATTAGGGTGTAGGGATTAGCGTTTAGAGCTTAGGGCTTAGGGTTTAGGGATTAGGGTGTAGGGATCAGCGTTCAGAGCTTAGGGCTTAGGGTTTAGGGATGAAGGTGTAGGGATTGGCGTTTAGAGCTTAGGGATTAGGGTGCAGGGATGAGGCTTTAGGGTTTACACGGGATAGTGCCTCCCAAGATGGAAATGAAAATGTAACTTGAAATGGAAGCTGGGATGTATTTAGGGGTTTACAGGGATTGGGGTTTCCCAAAATCAAGGGTACCGTTTTGGGGATCCGAAAAATTAGGATTATAGTATATTGCGGTCCATATTGGGGGCCGCCATATCATTGGGCTTCTCAAAATTTGGGCGGGCCCTTTGCAAGAGGTCTCTACGAGAAGGATGAAAGTATTTGAGGGTTTATCTAAGCGACACCTCTACTATTGGAAGGTGCTCTGTGAGTGGTTAAACTGTTGAACCAAATAAGACCATGCTCTTGTCAGAAGTCGCTCCAGCGAAAGGACCGTACAATCCTACACTACATCACCTTGACGGATCTCCTTTGATGTTTATACGCGAGGTATGGGGATTATTTGAGGTTTCGTAGGTAGTTGGTGTGCGGAGGGATTAGGCACAGTGACTCGTGCTGTAAAAGAGTCGAGAATAATGGTAACTGTCATCACAGAAGCAGGAGAAGAAAGAGGAGTAGTAGCAGCAGCAGCCGTACTAGCGACACGGAAGCAGCATCAGCAGCATCAGCAGCATCAGCAGCTTCAGCAGCAGGAGGAATGGTACGCCTCGACTCGTCATCGTGGTCGCAGTCGTCGTAGCAGCAGCTGCTGCTGCAGCAGCAGCCGCTGGAGGAATGGTACTCGTCGTTGTAGTCGTGGCAGCGGCGACGGCGGTGGCGCAGACGCTGGCGGCGGCGAACGCGAGAATCAAGTCAATGTTAACTTGCGTAAGTCACCGTCAGTCATACTGGCCATGAGGAGGAGGCACTCTTCTGCTGAAACTTCGCCCGGGATTTGCGAACACTCGAACTAGAAAGGACTCCCAACTAGGTTTTTTGGGAGTCTAAGTTTGTTTATGAGACGGTAACACCTGGAACCGACTAAGCAAAGATTCGGTTTTAATTACCCTGACAGTAGCACGGGAATCAATTAGCATGGTGACGCCAGCACTAGAAACCTGATACGCCGCCACCGCTGCTGCTACTGCCGCTTTTCTTAGCATGGGGGTGCAAGGCACCTTGTGGAGCACCAGCCGCACTTCCCCCAACGTGGAAGGGTCCTCCTTGCAAAGCTAAGATGGACAAGAATGCTCTGCGCTTGCCACATCGCAGCCCTACAGTGCAGCCTCAAGACATCTACGAACACACATAAGATGCACATCGCTGCAATCCCAAAC